AAGAGCAGCCAGTGCTCTTAACTACTGAGCTATGCCTTCAGTCCTAATAGAGGGACTAGAATAGTCTACTTATCTCAGTAACTCATCTTGAGGACCACGAGGAGAATATAAAGGAACTTACAAGCTGTTACTCGCTCTGTGTGTGTGTGTGTGTGTGTGTGTGTGTGTGTGTTAGAGACAAGAGTCTCTGAGAAGGACTGGAAATTAATCATTCACGTGGCAATCCTGGGTGGTTTTCTTTGGTATAAGATTAATAACTGGGTTTACCTTTAGGGCCAGAAAAGCAGCATGGAATTCCCGTCTGCCCTTCCCCTAGCCCCCGCTGTGTGCTTGCTAGAGCTCCTTGCCTTGTCCCTGCTTAGAGGACAGAACTCCTTGTGTTATCCTTTGGGAAGGTCTGGGATGATGGGGTGCCATTTCCCTCACGAATCCTATACAACACTGGGCAATGCTGAGCCTGTGAAGATGAAGAACCTTGACATTTACAATACAACTCCCACACCTAAGTCTCATGGAACATTGAGGAAGAGGGGACAGTAGCATTGTAAGTGTCAGAGGACTAGGAAGTCTCCCGTGAGATGGTGTCTCCTAGAAATGATAGGAAGTCACACCCATGGAACATCAATAACATGGTCACTTAAACAAGATCTGAACAATGACATTACCAATAGATATGATAATGTGTACAGGGATATCTCATAAGACCCCATCCCATCCCCAGGTGAAGAACTATAGGTGAATAATGACTGCTGAGAGAGGGAGAATTAGTCTTCACTAGCAGACAAGTCCATCAATTGCTTGTCTAGCACCAAGTGGTCAGCCCTGAAAACATATACATCCAAGCCACAATAAATGGACTCAGCACGTTGTTTTCATATATTTGTGCTGATATCTGTGTAACAATAGTAATTAAAATGAGGCCATGATGTTGAAATGGAGAGGGGGCATGAGAGGAATTGAAGGGAGGAGAGGAAGGGGGATGATGTCATTTCATTTTAATTACAAATGAAAATTAAAAGAAGATGGAGACATTTGGAGCTATATGATCTCTTGGATCTTGGTTATGTTATGGATTTATTATCTAAATTGGATGAATCAGTTATCATTTGGGGCATGGTTTCTTCACTCGAGATAGAGCTATCCTCACAAGGTTGAGGGCTGGATGATATCAGCTAATGTGGGTAAAGTGCTTAGGACAGTAGGCATTAGCTCTCATCATCTGCTGTCAGCTTGGTTGGTATAGGGTGCATGTGTGCAGATGCGCCTGTGGTTGTGTGGTCCTCCACATTCCAAATTTCCAGTTGACACAACAATATAATTTGTAGACCTCAAAGCCACAATGGTGGGTGACTTCTCTGAAGTCTTTCTTCTTTCTTTGTGCCCTGTCCTATACTCAGGATATCTTAGATCCCAGTTGGGCTGGAGGACATGAGAGATTCTAAGTGGTAAATAGGACCAGAGTAATGAGAGAGAAATGGATATCAGGAACTTCCCAATGTGGGGACAGGTTGAGAGAGGCAAGCAGTGTTGAAAAGATGTTATGATTGGGATAAGCAGCAAGCTTTGACTTCTCAGATGAATTCCCCTAGAGACCTTACACTTCCCATTCCTCATGTCATACCTTCATTTTTTTCCCAGAAGAGAGCATATTGAAGTAATAGTCAACAGTAATAGTCCTGTTGAGATATTCAGTTCAAGGTTGTTTAACTTCTTGGAACCTATTAAAATTTGTAATTCAATAGTCAGTTTCCATAAAAATTCTCTCTGTCTCTGTCTCTGTCTCTCTCTCTGTATGCCTCTTGTGTGTGCCTTTGGAGGCCAAAAGACACCATTGTATCTTCCCAGAGACAGAGTTACAGGCAGTTATGAGGTACTCAATGTGGTGCAGAGAACCAAGCTCAGGACTTCTGGAAGAGAAGCAAGTGTTCTGAAATGCAGAGCCATATCTCCATCCCCAACAGATATTCTCCTAAAACATAATATTTTTCAATTATTTTTGACAGTCTCATACATGCACATTATTTATCTTGATTGAACACACCCCAGCTCCTCATTCCCCTCCTTCCTAGGTATTTATCCTCCCCCTTCATCTCCTGTCATTTTTACTGTTGTTGTTAATAACTCACCAAGTCCAATTACTGCTACCTGTCAGCATGTTGACTGCTACGCTATTTCTTTTAGGGTCTCTCCCTCTCTAGAGATGAGGATAAAGATTGAGATTCTGTTCTATTTGGTACTTGCACATGCAGGCTTCTCCATGCCCAGAAGGCACTCCCTCTGAGAGGGAGAAAGAGGAACATGAGTTGCAAGGATACTATGGCATTGGTGAGTGGGGTCACACATGTTCCCAGCTGAAGAGTCACAGTGAATACACTCGAGGAAGGCTAGAGGAGAGTGGGTTACCCTGCAAGCATCAACAGCTAAACATGTTCACCTAAACTCAAAGTCTTCCTGGTTCTTTTTAGAAGCCAGTGCCCTGTGAAAATTCATTGTGACCTTCCTCTAAAACACACATTTCCTAAGATGGACTGATTTCTAGGTCTGACTGTGGGTCACTCACACGTTTCTTACATTTAGTCTCTTTTCCTCTGAGTACATGAAAATAACCAGGAAGTATCAGGGCCTAATCCCTACTCCAAATGATTTGACAGATTTTGTTGATCCCTCCTGAAAGGCATCACCCTCCTTGTGGAGTATGGGGGGAGAATGGGATGGGAGGGGGGCCAGGGGGAATGGGAGGAAGGGAGAGGGAACTGGGATCGATATGTAAAATAATAAAAAATAATAAAAAGAATAACAAAATAATTTTTTTCTATTAAATGTATTTTGTGTGGTGGTGGGGTGGTGGTGGTGGTGGTGTGTGTGTGTGTGTGTGTGCATGTGTGTGTGTGTATGTGTGTGTGTGATGTGCTATGGCATGTATGTAGAGGCCAGAAGATATCCTGTAAGAGTTGATTCTTTCCTTGTACTTCAGATCATCAGTTTGGGCAACAAGCACCTTTACCAGCTGAGCCATTTCACCCACCCAAAGTATCAAGTGCATTCTCAATGTGGTGGGTTTTGGATTTCCCCCTGATTAAAGGGATGGAATCTAGGACACCATGAATGAACTTCATGTGCTCTACCACTGAGCTACATCCCAGGTAGTATTTGTGTTGTTTATTTCCATAGAATGGGATTGTATATAAAGAAAGCATGCAGATGCAATACTGTATACTAAAGGAATGTTCCCAAACACATGGAGTCTCTCATCTACTCATTTCCTTATTGAAGAGCCACATACTTTTTTTTTAAAATATAGGGTCACACACTGTAGCCTAGGTTAGCCTCAAACTTGCTATGTGGCCAAGAATGACCTTGAACTTCTGCTCTTCCAGTCTCTACCTCTGGAGTGCAGGGATTAGAACCACCACCAGACCCTGTTATGCGGTGTTGATGATCTATCACAGGGCTTTGTGCAGACTAGGTAAGCCCTCTTTCAACTGGGTCACACCCTGAGCACAGAGTACCATACTCTACCTATTTTAAATAATACATTGTGTTGCCTGACAACTTTACACATGTATGTAATAATGCATGCTGGCCAATTTTACCCATTCTCTCTTATTTCCCTCCCACCCTTGTCAGCCTCACTTCTTCCCTGGAAATATCTTCCCATATTCGTGATTTGTTTTGTGTCCTGCGGACTTTAACTAGTGTCATCTGTGTGACTTTGGGTTTAGAACTCTTCATTAGAGCCGGTGGGCTCACGAATCACTACCAGGCACACAGCTGAATACAATGCCTCCATCTCTCTCCCAGAACCTGTTATGTGCCAGCAGTTCAGCAGTAAATGGTAAGGTCTGTCTCATTCTCATGATGACCACCGTCATGGAGTGGCAGGTGTTGAATTTTGGTGGATAGAAGAAGTAGAGGAATTCGGTTTTGTTGTTTCTTTTTTCCCAAGACAGGGTCTCATGTCCAGGCTGCTCTCAAACTCTCTATGTAGCTTTGAACTTTCTCTCTGGACTTCTGGTCCCCCTGCCTCTGCTTGATGAATTCTTGGATTTCAGAGGTGCACTACCAATTATGTGGTGCTGAGGATGGAGCCTGGGCTATGTGACTGCTAAGCTGTCACTCTACCATCTGATTCTTGTCACTTCTCCTAGATTTCCTTTTCTCTTTAATGTACAATCAAACAAACATCAGCAGTCTCAGATAAAATAATAATAAATATTTTAATAACACATTAGCTTTATTGGTATGCATAATTCACACACTGCATGATTTACCCATTTTACTGGGTGATTTTCAATTGTTTTAATTGTGGTTCTACAGAATTACCCAGTCAGTAATTTTTTTTAAGAACACTTTCATCACTTAAAAAAAACTCCCCTAACATTTACAAGCAACTGATCAGAAGGATTCCCTCCTCCCCTACTTCATATTAGCTTTCTATACAGTCTTTGGTTGTGACCCAGAGATGTCAGGGCCCCTTGCAGGCTTGAGTATCATTTCCTCCCATGATAAAGCATGACCTCATTGAACTGTGCCAGGTGACTCATCCATTGCAACACTAGACCGGGAATATGTGGGATTCATACCTTGGGAGAAGTGACTTTTTTGTCATGGGCACAGGTGAGGACAGATTCTAACAGATTGCTATTGTTCTGTTGAGTTTGTCAAAAATGACAAAATATCTTCCAGGGACGGACAAAGATATTCTGTAAAGATTCTCATGCAGATGGCCTGATTTGGGCTTCATTTCATGTGTTTTGGAGTGGGGCCAGCCTTGGTGAGAGGGTATTTTATGTCAATGAATTTGCTGGAAGTTTTAATGAAAAGGAAAAATGTTTGGTGTCCCTGAAATGGGCATATTGTTTATTGATTCTGCACAGAATATTAACTTCAGGAGGTCAAATTGGCTATGCATGAACTTTGTGATCTGCCAAATTCAAGAGGATAGCAAAGTCCACATGGCTGGAGCCCTGAACCACCCATCTTCCCAGATTATAAATGTGCAGACTGGGCACACTTCAGCACCGTTGACAAGAAGGAAAGCCCTGCAAAGGGTAGCACACACAGCTGGAAGGAGAACACAAGGGTACATTGCTGACAGAGAAGCAACGATGGACCTGACTTCAGTTCTGTCCCTGGAAACCTGGGCCCTCCTGGCCATCAGTCTGCTGCTCCTATACAGGTGAGTAACCACCAAGTCCCTCCCACACTGTGTCATTGGATTGGGGTTATACTCAGACCTACATTCTGGAAATGACTGGAAGATCACAAACGATATCAGAAGCAGGGGCTGGAGAGGTGGCTCAGTGGTTAAGAGCACTGGCTGCTCTTCTACAGGACCCGGGTTAGAGTCCCACCACCCACATGTGGCTCACAATCATCTGTATCTACAGTTCCAGGGGATCTGATGCCATCCACAGGCACTAGAATAAAAGTTTGAAAGTCATAGCAGAAGTTGAAGTTATCTCTTGTAAAAATATTTTAAAAGTACATGTTGTTATTACATGTTGGTTTAATTCATCTTTTGGTTTTCCTCATGTTATCTCCTGTCTTCTGTATGTGTGGTCACAAGGCTTTCTGTTTCACTTTATAGATTTGGGACCCGTAAACACGACATTTTTAAGAAACAGGGAATTCCTGGGCCTAAACCTCTGCCGTTTTTAGGAACTCTACTGAATTACTACAAGGTGAGTATTGATTGAGCTACCTGTAGGGCTTCCCTGATGGCCAGTAATGGTTTAGTTCTATTAAATGGCCCCTGCGAGGAAACTGAGACTTCAGGCCCTCATACAGTGTGTTTCCATGATACTAGAGAATGTCCAGTGGTTCCTTGGGACTCTATCCTGACTTAAAACTATCAAATGTTCACATGTGTGTTTTTATACTGTGTATGAATGTATTTGCCTGTGTGAGTGCTCATTATGTGTGCAGATGTGTATGTGTGGACTTGTGTGCACATGGGGAGGCCAGAGGTGGATACTGGGTATCTTCTTGAGGGTCTCTCACTTGAACCCATCTCTCTGATTTGACTAATATATCTGGCCAGTTTTCTCCAGGGATCTCTTGCCTCTTCCTCCTCCAAGTGGGGATGGCGTAGGGTTACCCCTACCTGGAATTTACATAGATACTGTGGATCCAAACTCTGGTTTTTAGGGTGTGCTTTTCCCACAGCACCATCTCCATACTTTCTATTGTCAATTTTTCCCATATTTATTAATTTTAGGGTAACTCTCTCTCTCTCTCTCTCTCTCTCTCTCTCTCTCTCTCTCTGTGTGTGTGTGTGTGTGTGTGTGTGTGTGTGTGTGTGTGTGTGTGTGTGTGTGTCACAGCATACACATGCAGGTCCAAGGACAACTTGCAGGAGTCAGTTTTCTCTTTCTACCATATTGAGTCCTAGGTATGGAACTCAGGTTATCAGGCTTGGTGGCAAGTGCCATCTCATTTGGAGCCATTTCACAGATCCTAATGTCAGTTTATTCAGCCTCAAGTTTGTTTTAGGTGACATGAACAGATCTCCAACCCATTTAATCTTGATATTGATGACATGATGCTCAAACTTTATGAGAAAAAAAGAATTTTATTTCTTACCCAGTGCAGATTCTGACAGGTTACTGCTGTACTTATTTGAAGGAAATCTTGAAGGGGTTTCCAGGTTCAAGGACATCAACCTGTATGCACTAGATTAAAATTCTCCTCCTTGTATCTGGGTTCACGAACATCATTTCTTGAACATTTCTGAAGCATCAGCTTATCGCAGACCTACATACACACATCTGGGGGACTTTTCATATACTTGGGTTCTCTACATAATCATTGAACCGTGGCTGTATGGCTGTATACAGCTCCATGGCTGTATCCCCATCACTCACTGTTCATGGCATGTCTGGGTTCTTGAGAACTAGAGTGGTTTGCTCCACTCTCTTCCTTTCAGAATGGAGGTCCTGGTTAATGACTGATTCTTTTAGAAAGAAGATTTTATTTATATTTGTGTGGGTTTGTGCACACTACTATGGATGTAGTTCCTACAGAGACCAGAAGAGGGCATTGGATTCCTGAAGCCAGAGTTACAGATGGTTGTGAGATGTTGGATTGGGTGCTGTGGACAGAACTTGGACCCTCGGCAAAATTAGCAGGTGCTCTTAACTGCTGAGCCAATTCTCCTGCCTTAATGACAGATTTTCACTTCTGTTTTGTTTTGAGAGGCCGAGAATGTAATCCAGGGTCTTCTACATGCCAGGCAAGTGCTCTACCACTGAAATGTACCGACAGCTGTTTCTCTTCCTTTAAGGCAGTACCCTGGGAGTGAATCTGAGCAGCAAGTGTGAATACCTGAGACAGAATGATAGCTGTCAATCACCTCAGACGCTTGACTATACAATGCATTTTGTAGTTCCTGTTCAAGATTTGATAAAGGCAAAATCACTAGGGAAAGGATGATTTAATAAAATTATTAGAAACTTCAGGAATGAGCATGCGATATGCCACATTTAAGTGTAGGTGGATCACTTGTGACCAGTCCACCTCAGGCATTCCCAAGCTCACATCCCAAGGGTGAGTGGCAAAGCTTGTGTTGAGAAGGCCACAGGAAGGTGGTTTTCTTCCTAAAGTTTCTATGCTTACTGCACACACTATGTAAAACAATTTATCATCACCATCATCATTGTGGGTGCGGTGTATCTGGTGCGGTGCATGTGAGTGTGTCTATGACTGCATGCAGGGGTCACAGGAAGAGGTCAGGTGTCCCCCTCTATCACTCTCTGCCTTTTCTCACTGAGCCATCCTGCTGGTGACACTAAACGTTACTGAAGAAGTTTTCTCTGTTAGAAACAATAAACCTTAATGTGTGGGATTTGTGGGTTTGGTTCCCTGGCTATAAAAGGGTTGGTACATACAGGATAATGATGGATTGCCTGCTATTTCTCTCTCTAGGGTATGTGGAAATTTGATAATGAGTGCCGTGAAAAGTATGGAAAAATATGGGGGTGAGTATTCTGGAGAGTTCCATGGAGTCGACTGTTTTTAGGAGGATGTGATTCACTTGTGCAAGGTCAATGACTGCCCAGCATTGTAGTAATGCACCTCTCTGTTGTAAAGGTGATGCCATGTGTCATTAGTGCCATGGTTTATAGGTCTAATTCTCTGGAGAACATTACATACTGAGGCTTTTTGACAGGCTTTGATGTTCCATTGACTTAGGGCTAAGAATGTGTTTTTTATTTTTTATTTTATTATGTTTTGAGACAGGGTTTCTCTGTGTAACAGTACTGGCTGTCCTGGAAATCACTCTGTAGACCAAGTTGGCCTCAAAGTCACAGAGACCTGCCTGCCTCTGCCTCCGAGTGCTGGGACTGAAAACATGGGCCACCTTGCCCAGCAATGCCTTTCCTTTTATCCAGTGATCTCATCCAATTTTTTTCTCTTCTGAAACTTCCTTTTCATTACATAAAATGCACTGTTTCACATCCCTCTTATCTGCTCTAGTAAATGTGTGACATTGACAGTTGTGATGGCACATGCTGGTAGGATTGACTGATGGATGGGGAGGCAGAAGGATCAGGAGTTCAAGGCCAGCCTGGGTTACACACGTGTGTGATACCATCTCTTTGCCCCATTCACTCATTTCCCTTTAGAAGCCCTTCACTTCATACTGTTTCACCTCAATGTTGATTTTAACATATTCTTTGAAAGCACGAATGGGAGGGCATAGCTAAGGACTTGGGCATGATTTATGCTTGGTATTAACATTTCTTTGTAAATGTAGAGATTTTGTTGTTTGTGCTTTATTTCAAGCCAATGGTGGTTTTTCCTTCCTGGAAGAGGATCATGTGTCATGATGCACATATGTAGGTCAGGGGAAACTTGTGGGAATTGGTTCTTTACTTCCAAGGGAAATCACCTGGAAGTCAGATGATAAGGCTAGGTTCCAGTGCCTTATCTGCAGAGCTGTCTTCTCAGCCCCTGAGAAGATTCCCCCCCACCCCAGACAGGATTTCTCTCTATAACAGACCTGGCTGTCCTGGAACTTGCTCTGTAGATCAGACTGGCCTTGTACTCACAAAGATCCACCTGCCTCAACCTCTTGAATTCTGGAATTAAAGGTGTGAGCCATGGCCATCGCCTGCCAAGACTTTTGATGAAGTGTATTTCATTGTGTCCTGTCTAATTGAACTGACTTGGGAGATCTAATGTTTTCTTCCATGAACCTATGTTCTTAATGGTTCTGTAAAGTGGTTGATCCAGCAGCAGCAACTCTTCCCTATCACTGATGCTGGGGTTTGGTTAGAGTTTAGAGTAGCATCACCATCATTCTATGAGACACGAACAAGAGGGAGGAGGCTCTGGCTTTTCCTGCCTCATCATCTCTTCTCATCTACCCTTAGGAACCACAGACCTGAACATGGGACTTTCTTGTTGAAATAGCCCGTAAGACCATGTCATCCAATGCTAACAGCAGGATTTTCACTCTGTCCAATGGCCCCATGTGACTGTCTTCTTGCAATTTAATTGCTTGTCAGCCCTTGGCAGTGTTTTTTTTTTTTTTTAAACATTTCACTGAACTAATATCTATTTATTTATTTATGCATTTATTATTTATTTACTTATTTGGGACAGGATCTCTTTATGTATCCCTGGTTGTCTCAGAACTCAATATGTAGACCAACCTTGCGTTGAACTCAGAGATATGACTACTTCTGCCTTCCAAGTGCTGGGATTAAAAAGCATGTGCCACCATGCCTGTCCCTACCCTAATTATTGTTTAATTATTGTGTTTATGTGTCCAAGAGGGACATGTGTCCCATGGCATACGTGTAAAGGTCAGATGACTGTGTGGCAGTCAGTTTTCTCATTCTATCTTGTAGCTCCCAGGGACTGAACTGGTGTTCACTGGGCATTACTTTCCTATCCCTGGAGCTAGCTGTGTGTAAGTCCTCAGGCAGGCTCAGGATCTTGAGCTTCCTGCTGGAATGTTGACAGTCAGCTCACACACAAAGCCTGTGGAGGCAATCCTAGCTGCCATGAGTTCCAAAGTATGGAAGACAGCATTTGCAGCTTTCCTCTCCACTGTGTGGCTCTCATGTTCTTTCTGAACTTCCGAGAAGTTGGTATAGATACCTCCCATAAATTCTGTATGTTCACTTGTTCTTCAGCTCAGTGTATCAAAACCAGGGCCTGGCGCACTCCGGGCAGTTGTTCTACTGCCGAGCTACACCCCAAGCCCACCCAGTTACTGAAACATTTTATTATTTTCAAGATCATTTTTTTAATTTACATTTTTTATTTTTCAAGGATTTACTTTAAAATATTTGACTTTATATTTCATCTTAGGCATTTAATTATGAATTTTTACTTTAACATTTAATTTTTAAACATCTATTTTTGTTACTTTTAATTATGTATATGCCCGTGAATGCATGTCTCCCCATATGAGTTCAGATGATCATGGAGGCCAGAGGCATTGGCTCCCCCTGGAGCTGGAGTTTCAGGTGGTTGTGAGCCACTCACCAGAAAATAGGTCCTCTGTAGGGACAATACGTGCTCTTAACAGTGGCACCCTCTCTCCAGACCCTTGTGCTATTTTAAATGCGTAAAATTCACAGACAATGGTATAGGCAACTCTCAGATATTCACATTTAGACTTAAAAATTCTACTTGTGATACCTAATATGATGTCTTTTGGAACCGGTTTGTCTTTAAATGTCTCATTGTGTCTTGAATTACATCACCTGTCACTTTACAAAGACTCCACTGTATCTGGGGTCAGACTTCCTAAGTTGGACCGGGACCTCCTGTGATGATGTGTTGTATGACCAGAGTGAGGGTCATGTAACATGAGAATCAAAGTCTGGATTTGGGTTCCCATTTCAGAGCCTGGCCCAGGTTGATCAGCTGTTTCCCCCACACAGGTTGTTTGATGGTCAGATACCCCTGTTTACTGTCACGGATTCAGAGATGATCAAGAATGTACTAGTGAAGGAATGCTATTCTGTCTTCACGAACCGAAGGGTAGGTAACTTTTTTTTTTAAATTTAAAAGCATTTAAGGTTTATTTTTTCATTTATGTGTATATATGTGTGTCTATATGAGTGAATGCCATGTGTAGGTTTCTGTGGAGGGCAGAAAAGGGGGTGAGATCCCCCAGAGTTGGTGTTTCAAGCAGTTGGAGGAGCCTGACATGGGTCCTTGGAACTGAACTTGAGTCCTGAAAAAGAGCAGCAAGCACCTGTAACTGTCGAACTGTTCACCAAGCCCCCTTTAATGATGCAAACTTTTATATTTTACTTATTGATTTTCTTGTTTGTTTGTCTTGATTTTTAGGGACAGGTTTTCTCTGTGTAGCCCTGACTCTTGAAATCCACTTTATTTACCAGGCTAGCCCCAACTCAGTGATCTGCCTGCCTTTGTCTGCCTCTGCTTGCCAAGTGCTAGGATTAAAGGCATGTGCCACTGCTGCCTAGAAAGCCTGGATATTTGGTTCCTCTTCTTTCTTTTTCAAGATACGGTTTCTCATTGTAGCCTTGGCTGCCCTGGAATTCTCTTTGTAGACAAGGCTGACCTCAAACTCACAGATAACTGCCTTCCTCTGCCTAAAGGTGTGCAGCACCACCACCTGGCTGCTTCTTTAATTAAAAGATGAAATAAATATATATTCAGAGTGGTTTCCACAATAATATACAAGCATGGTCTGGGCATTCATTTTGCTAATACTAATGGCTTGAGGAAGTCTAAGTATACTATATTATTGTAACCTAGTTAAGAAGGACACTTTCTCATCTAGATTGCGTTTACATCTCCTGTCATGGATCTTTTCCTATGTCTGTGTGGTGCTGTACAGTGTCTCACAGGTCTAGATTTGTGTGGTGACAAACTCTGAGAATACAGAGTGGCTCCTTGACCATGCAATGTGCTCTTGCTAGCCCATTAGCTACCATGTATGGCCTATCTTCTTTCTTATTGCATCTCCATTTTCCTTCTCAAAGGAGTGTGTGGTCTATATTAAGTCCCATAACTGTTTACCTGGCCCTTCTGTGGGGGTTTGATTCTTCTTTTTTTAAAACTTTATTCATATATATATATATATATATATATATATATGTATATATATATACATATATATATGCATATATATATTTACATATCGATCCCAGTCCTCTCTCTCCCTCTCTCCCTCCCTCCCTCTTTCCCTCTCCCCCCTCACATGTACCCTGACCACCCCCCCTCTTCCATCATCACCCCCCCACTCCACATGTAGGGTGATGCCATCCAGGAGGGGTCATCTAAATCTGTCAAGTCATTTGAAGTAGGGACTAGGCCTTCTCTCCTGTCTCTAGGTTAAGGGAGTATCCCTCCATGGGGGATGTGCCCGCAAAGTCTTTTTGTGCACCAGAAATACATCCTGGTTCCACTGTCAGAGGTCCCTTAGACTGCTCAGGCCTTCTAGCTGAGACCCATGTTCAGGGGGTCTATGTCAGTCCCATGCTGGATTCCCAGCTATCAGTCTGGGGGGCCCATTAGCTCCTCCTTGTTCAGGTCCACTGTTTCTATGGGTTTGCTTCTGTACAAATTATATCCTTTTGAGATTTGCTCTTAAGCATATGGTTTATTTATGTTAATTATTGTATGAAGTATGATACTTAATTCAATGTTTTTTTTCTCTCTTTTAAAAACATGGCTATCCCACTGTTCTGGAGAGTGAACTCAAGTTGATAGCTTTGGCAGCAAGCACCTTTACGTACTAAGCCATCTCTCTGGCCCTTGTTCAGCCTGTGGTCATTTGGTGAAGTTGGCTGAAGGCCTAGTTTGCAGCTGCCTTTCAGAAAGTGGAAGCCACTTCCATTTCTTCCTGTTGTGCTAATTGCTTTAATATAAGGGCAGCTGGAAGACTCCACATTAGTATAAATTATAAGTGTGGAACACAGAAGGAAGATCCCACCAGGGTAATAGAATTATGTTTTCCCTTTTATCACTGCATAAAGAATTAAGAAAAAAGATCTACAGAATTATTTCTAAATAAATTATCAGCCCCCAAAACAAACAAACCAGGGGCAAGAGAGATGGCTTAGTGGCGGAAAGCTTTGAAAAATGATGGGAGGTTTGTTGCCTACATCCACATCCAGCACCTCACAATCACCCATAACTCCTGCTTTAAGAGATCCAGTTCCGTCCCCTGGTCTTTGAGTGCACTGCACACACAAAGGCATACATTTATATACACACACACACACACATATATACATACAATGCCAAAATACATCTTTGAAACCCCAAACATCAAATCCTTTAAGTGTCTCAGGGCTGGGGAAATGGCTCAGTGAGTGAGGACCTGAGTTTGAATTCCCAGCATCCACATCAAAGCTGGGCATAGCAGTAGGCATGTGTTACTTCAGAGTTGTGATTAGAAATATGTAGATCCTAGGGGCTTGCTGGCTAGCTCCTCTAGCCAAACAGAGACTTCTAGATTCAGTGAGAGACCCTGCCTCAAAAATGCAGTAGAGAATTATAGAGGAAGATGCCAGACCTCTGGTGTCCAAATGAGCAGACATGAGCATTCACACCAGCATTCTAGCACGTGTGTGCATGCATGCCATGACAAGACCTACCTTTTCACATCACTTGTGTCGCAAATCCAGAGCTGGAGAACTTGTCTGATGCAAAGTTAATTTTCTAGCTGTTCTCAAGCCATTTGCCATTTGCATAGCTCTGGAGAATCTAGTAAGTCATGTTCCCATCTTCATCCCCACCCCACCCTTGGATCTAATTTTCCAACCACAGAGATTTATACTTAGAAGGATCCTGGAATATGAAAGTTTGAAAGCTCAACAGGCAGCCTAGTGAGCACCTACTTTCTTACAGGCTGTGAGGAAATTCTGACTTTTTGTATCTAGCATGAGGCTTGTCCATAGTAAAATGTCCTACAGCAATATCCACTTAACACTCTTGCAACCATGGAAAGTTTTGGACATACAGGGAGCAATAACTGTATTTGTTTGGACTTTAGGATTTTGGCCCAGTGGGGATAATGAGCAAAGCTGTTTCCATATCTAAGGATGAGGAGTGGAAGAGACTGCGTGCCATGTTGTCCCCCACCTTTACCAGTGGAAAACTCAAAGAGGTGACTAAAAGAACTTCACATTGAAATATTTGTGTGCCTGGAGTCTCCACTCCTAACTGTGGATGCCTTTGTGTTTTGTGCTTAGATGTTCCCCATCATTGAACAGTATGGAGATATTTTGGTGAAATACTTGAGGAGAGAGGCAGAGAAAGGCAAGCCCATCATTGCAAAGGAGTAAGTAGTGGTACACCCTCGGTGGTTCTGGGAGAGGAAGGGTAACCGGGGCAGAAGGTCATCCTTCTGTTGTCTCACATGGTCCAGCTGCTCCTTCTAACCCTTTTAGACACTAGATGACAAAATATACAGTTGAAAAAGAAACATGATAGTACCAAGTTCGCAAAGGCAGAGGATGGGTAGGAGGGGAAGGTGCTTGGTCAGTACTGAGGTGGTTGTGCCTGTCTTGCCCAAGAATGTGAATTATTCCTGGCTTCTTGCTGCAAGTGATAAACTTCTATGTCTCTCTCTTCTCAGAGTGTTTGGTGCCTACAGCATGGATGTGATCACAAGTACATCATTTGGTGTAAACGTTGATTCCCTCAACAACCCAAAGGACCCTTTTGTGGAAAAGGCCAGGAAGCTCATAAGATTAGATTTTTTTGATCCATTATTCATGTCAGTAGGTATGTTTGATAGTTCTTCTGCCTTTAGATCCACTCATTGCTCCTGTCTGTGGCCATGCATATCAGTTCTGTCTTTGTCTTCCATACTTACCAAAAGCAAGAGCTCTATTGTTATGTAATTCATCCCTTTACAGTAGTCCAATATTTTAGTGTATTCAAAGATATGTATCCCCTCAATTTTGTTTTAGAACTTCATTTTTCTTTTAAACAGGACCTCAGTGTGTTGCTATAGCTGGCCTAAAATTTGCTGTGTAGACCAGGCTAGCCTTGAACTTGCAGTAATCCTCCTTAGTGCTGGGATTAAAGGTGTAAGTCACCACTCCTGGCTTTGTTTTAGAATTCTTTTATATATCCTTTGACAATATCATATAGGTATACAATCTATCGTGATTATACCCACCAGTAACACTCAACTCCCACTTCCCTCCGACAGCCCAACACATCTTCCTCTCAACTTATTTCCCTTCCTCTTTTTGGTCACCCATTGAGTCCAATCAGTGCTGCCTGCTAGGATGCTGACCAGCATGAGTGGGCCATGCAATGTCCAGGACATGGCATTTCACACCAACCCTCCCTGGCTCTTACTATATTCCCACATTCTCTTACATGATGCTCTTTGAGCCTTGAGTGGTGGGGTTGTTGATATACATAGATGCTCCATGTAGCGCTCAGCATTCAGCAGTCACTTATTCTCAGCACTTGGATCACTCAGGAATCTGCTTTGATGGATGGTCTACATGGCTCATTACCAATGTCACCTGAAGGGAACTTTGTTCTAGCCATGTTGTACATTTGCACCATCATCCTTCAATCAGCCCTGACCTACACAACCACCAATTCATTTTCTGTGTATCTGCATATTCTGGATATTTCACATCAATGGGATCATAGTCTATGCCATCGCTGTGGCAGGTCTTTGTCATTTAGCACAGTATTTCATGAAGCAAGCATCACTGTCTCCCATGTCTATCAATGAGTAACATTCCATATACATTGATGGACACTGAATTTAGTATTACATGTTTGCCTCAATTTTGCTGCTATGAGAATTTGCATACAAGGTTATGCTTGAGTATCTGTTTTTATATTTTGGAGACATGAACGCTGAATCATTCCTGAGTCACAATATAACCCATTTTTAACATATTTCAATGGAGCATACATTGTCCACAGTGGCTGCAGCATTTTGTATGTCTTCTGGAAATGCAGGAATGTTCCAGGTCCTCCAAACTCTACTCAGCTCTCCCATGATTTTGATCATTTCCACTTAGTGGATACCCTGCAGGCTGGACATGTGGTTTTAAATAGCATTTCCCTAATAGTAATGCAATTAAAAAAAGTTGATGTGTTAATGTTTGCCTTTAGATCATCTCTCTTACATACCTGAATTGTTTTAACATTTTGAAAGCTTTGTTTATTTTTATGTTATGTGTATTGGGATTTTGCTTGCATGTATGTGTGCCACATGCATGAAGTGCTTGCCAAGGCCAGACGAGGACATTGAATCCCCTGGAATTGGAGTACCAGATGGTTGAGAGCAGCCATGTGGGTGTGGTCAAACCTGTGTACTCTGTTCAGCAGTCAGTGCTAACTGCTGAACCATATCTCCACCCCTGTAGTTATTTTATTGTGTATGTGCTGGGTACAATTAGCAGTGGTGCGTCACTTACGGTTTAATACTTTGTCTGTCAATTACTTTTCCATACACAACTCATGTGTTCTTTTGCCTACACCCCTCCTTCATCAACACCTAATATCATACTCCCTTGGTCTCCTTTTAAGCATCATCCCATATCCACACTTATATGTGTTCACATATTTACATTTATTCATTATAGGCTAGACTCTGGAAGTGAGGGAGACTGTGTGATTTTTCTTTCTTTCTGAGTTTGAGTCACCTGTCTTTGAACTTGGCTTTAAAGGAATACTGGGTACCAAATTCAGGTCTTGTGCTTGTATTAGGGTTCTATCAATGAGTCATCTCTCTAGCCCTGGAGTTAGTTGTTTTAAAATTGTATTTTTTAATGTAAAGTTTGATTATTTGAGATTTAAACAATGAAGGTTGTAAGCCTCTTTGCCTTTTCTCTGCATGATCTTGGTATATCTTCATTTCTTACTTTCTCAAGACATTCTATTCCTTTGCTCTGTGGAGGAGATCCCAAGATCTCATGCATGCTAGTCAAGTAATATACCATGAAACTATATCTCAGCAAATTTTCCCATCACCTCCTAGATTTTTGTTACTCATTCCTCTGACTTTCCTCATATTCTTTCTGTTATTATTTTCGTTATACATCATGCCAGTTGAGAAAAATGCTATCTTGGCTGTTCTTCCTTTATTACTTATTTATTGGCTAAAATAATTATCTATTTCTTTATGTGTGTGTGTGTTCTATGTGTGTGTATATAATCAAAGTTTTCTTTGATCTGTCAGATCACAAATAATTATTATTTATTATTAATTATGAAATCGTGGCCTTAGAATAGGCTTTTCCCCAAGTAGAATTTACAACTTAAATTAACATGTTTCCTTTAATCTATAATCTGTCATATGGCTTGGTTACCTTTCTTCTGTACCATATGTTGGACTTATTTGTTGTCTTCCTGGCATCTCTCTGCCTCACTTCTCAGAGTTCTTCTCTTTCCCCTGAAGTCCCACCTATTCTCTCCTGCCTAGTTATTAATCATTCAGCTTTTTATTAAGTCAACCACAGTCATGTATCTTCACACAAATATTCCACAGTGTGTATGTGTGTTCACTTTGATGTTTGTGTGGCACGTGGAGATCAGAGGACAACTTACTTCCACAGTGTGGGATGCAGGGATCAAACTCAGGTTGTTAAGCTTCTCTGCAGGGACTTTTAGCTTGAACCATGTCAAAGGCCTCTGTCTGAACTTTCTGGATCCACAAAAACTACAGGAGCAGAGTTAAATCCAAGTCTCAGATTTGTTTCTTTGGCTATTCTAAAGTACAGAAGGAGCATCACGGTGGTGACCCAGTGTGAGCAAGGTCACAGAGAGAATGGCTTCTGATTGAGACACTAGTAACTTATTCTTTAGATTGCTTCATGATTTCTCTAGATGAAACTTGCACTTCTACTAAAACTTATTTTTTAATCTATTCTTTCCAGTACTCTTTCCATTCCTCACCCCAATATATGAGAGGTTAAATGTCACCATGTTCCCAAAGGATTCCATAGCATTTTTCAGAAAATTTGTGGACCAAATGAAGGAAAATCGCCTGGATTATAACCAAAAGGTAAAAAGTAGTAGTCTCATGAGAGGTCCAGGGTTTCTTGACATGTTGGGCTGTGAACATGAGAGCTGTGTGCTCCCTTTATCTATCACTAAAGGTAAATAGAAAAGGATAGATTAAGAGAGAGGCAGACAGAGAGAGAGAGAGAGAGAGAGAGAGAGAGAGACAGACAGACAGACAGACAGACAGACAGACAGACCAACAGACAGAGATATTTGTATTTTGGGAGAGAAGATGGAGTTTTGAAAATTTCATTGATAATAATCTAGGAATTAATCCTTAGCAATAGGAATGAAAACAAGTGTGCCCTGCATAAAGATTGAAATAAAAAAATGACAAGGATCAAGGCCTATTTGAGATCAAGACAGCCAAATCTCCAGCATAGGTGAGAGAGGACAGGTCCAAGCCCCACCCCTTACTGGAAACTATTGGTAATTTATGGCTGCAGAAGGAGGATATGGCCACCAGTAGGTTGCCCATGCACCAGTGGATGCCCCATAGCCAGGCATATATGGGCAGCACCAGTTAGACTCAGTGGGTTATTTATAAAGAAGATGTCATGAGGTTGGAGAAAGAAATGTTACGAGGGATACAGAAGGGTTCAAATGGAGAAAATGGTGGTGTGGGTATGACCATATCTCATTATATACATGTATGGAATTCTCTAAGAATAGATAAAAATGATTAAAAGGGAGGGAAATACTATTTTAATCTCCTTCAAAAACATTTTCAACAAATCGAAGTTATTGTTTAAAATTGTGTCTATTGTAATTTACTGGAAAAGTGGTTGATGTGGTAGCTGGATTGCTTCCTGGTTTAGACACTGGTGTTTTTGTTCTTTGATGCCTCAAGCAACACTAGGCATGTCTGTGAATTTAAGGGAGCTATGTTCTCAGAAAGGAGGTTAAGCTTCTGCACCCCAATCCACCTCTGACCTCACCAATGACCTTTTATTTCTGCAACTTTTCTTTCTGTTTCCAGCACCGAGTGGATTTCCTTCAGCTGATGATGAACACACATGCCAATTCCAAAGACAAAGAGTCTCACAAAGGTAACCAAGAACTTCCTGCCCTATGGACAAGGAATCTCTAGACTAGTGGTCAGGTCTCTCAGAAAAATCTGTGGGAAGGTTTTCTAGCAGAAGAATACCTCTGTCAAGTTGCTGAAAGGACACGGCTATTATCTACATGGAATTTTCTAGAAGCACATGGGAACAAGTTTGTTGCAAACATGAAGGATAGCCTTGATGAAAGTCGTCAGTGTTACCTAGTTCTTCACAGGTGCTGTTTCTGTCTTTCCCAGCACACTGACTGAGAACTCTGACTAGATATCCCCCATCCAGGCAGGAGACACATACCCACACAGTGTTGATGATTTCTGGGAGCCCCTGGTGGACATGTGTTGTCTATCTTAATGTATGGTAAAGATTTGCTTTTCTTTGTGCATTGAATAAGTGGCATCTGGTAACTGCCTCTTTGTACAAACACAAGGTTTATCTTAATTCTTATAGGCACTTAAAAATCATGTATAGATCTTTAACTTCTTCAGATGGTATATGCATGTGTGTGCATAAGTGTGCGAACATGTGTATATCCCTGTGTGTGTTTGTGGATGCCAGAGGAAGGCATCAAGTGTCCTCCTCTCTGCCTGATTCCCTCAAGACAGGGTCTTTTTATTCAACCTGGAGCTAGGCTGAGAGCCAGCCAGTCCCAGTGATCCACAGAATTGGGGCTACAAGGGAGTGCTACCACACTTGGCTTTTTACATGGGGACTGAGGATTCAAACTCAGGTCCTCTTGTTTGTGCAGCAAGTGCTTTTACCCACTGAGCCATCTCTCTAACCTCCGGTCTGTGGTTATGTTTTATTTTAAAACAATTATTACTGTCATGGATGCAAAATGATGACATTCCAATCCCAGACTTTGTTCTCCCTGTGTGCATCAGTCGCTAATGTAAAGGGAGTTCTCCATTCTTACTTATTTGCTTGCTTCTAGTACATGCAATTGCATATATATATATATCTTCTAGGTCTCCAAATTTGCTTTTAAAAGTCATCATTTATTTTGTATTTTAAAATTTCTCCAGTTTGTCCATTTGAAACCCTTTCATGTGATCAGCTTACTTCATATTGGTCTACACCCCGTCCTTATGAGACTGGGTCTCAAGTTTCCCAGGCTGATCGTGATCACATTCATGGTGTGTCTGAGGATGACCTTTTGACTTCTATACTACCATGCCTAGTTTATTCAGTGCTGGGGACTGGACCTATGGTTTCATGCATTCTGGCTAGCTCTCTATCTACTGAGGTCATGTTTCATTTTTGATAGCTAAAATAGATATTAATTTAAAAATACACACTGGTTGTGGGTTTATACTCAAGTTTCAATTTAGTAGCAAGAACTTAAACTAATTGGCAGAAAGAATATTACAAAAAAACAGACTCATAGCTCTCGTGGCAAAAAGGTTACAACTGCCTGTAACTCTAGCTCTATGGGTTCCAATGCCATCTTCTACCCTCCCTGGGCACTTGTACACATATGTATGCACACACAAGTAAATAAATAAAAATTAAATATCTTAAGCTCTAGCAGAGGACTGGAGTTCAGTTCCCAGCACCTACCTCTAAAAGCTCACAAACTTCCAAAACTCCACTTATAGGGGATTAGATGCCCTCTTCTGGACTCCATGGGCACCCCACACACATACGGCAACCCTCCAGACAAATACACATAAATAAAAACTAAAAATGAATCTTAGAAACAGAATGAACAACACGTCTCGAAGTTGCCCACTGATGGTGAGGATCAGAGCATAAACCCTGGGGCGTCCTGGCTGAAGCAGTCTTCCCCTTCTCTGGCTGTGTCACATGGATGGCAGTGTGACAACAGTCCCAGGGTACTGAACTGCTTCTCCATATTTATCTTTGGGGAACAGGAGCCTCCTTTCATGTTCTCCTCATCTCTTCTGTGATGGTCCATTCTGACTTTTCTGAAATATTTTCTTACTTTCAGCTCTGTCTGACATGGAGATCCTAGCCCAGTCAATTATCTTTATTTTTGCTGGCTATGATACCACCAGCAGCACACTTGCCTTCACCCTGTATCTACTGGCCACTCACCCTGATATACAGAAGAAACTACAGGAGGAGATTGACGCCACTCTGCCCAATAAGGTGACTGGATAGTGATTGTTTTTTTTATATAATTTTTTTATTTAATTTTATATAACAAAGTCCAATTAAATGAAAACAAACATTTATACACAATATTTGGGAATTTGGGCGTCGTTCTTTCCAAATTACTTCCTGCTGGTAAGGGGCGCTGTCTTGGGGGATTCGAAGAAGATTCAGATATCCTAGCTGTAGTCTGTAGGGCTGTTTTGTCCAGCTGTTTGGAATGTAGGATCAGCTTGTGATTGGAATAGGAGGGAGGAGACACCTTCTCATCTCCGGCTGTGTATGTGTGTGTGTGTGTGTGTGTGTCTGTGTGTGTGTGTGCAAGAGACAAAGAGAGAGGGGGGAGTGAGAGAGAGAGAGAGAGAGAGAGGAAGAGAGAGAGAGAGAGAGAGAGAGAGAGAGAGAGAGAGAGAGAGGGTCATTGTGTGTGTGTGTGTGCAAGCCTGTATGTAGGACATAGGCCTACACTGGGTGTTATTCCAAATCACTCTCCACCATGTTTTTGAGCTCCATAAACCTAGAGCTTATCAATTTGGCTATGCTATCTGGTCAGTGCCCTTTCTCTGTCTTTCTGCCCTCACAAATGTGTGCTACTTTGTCTGACTTCATGAATGGTGTGTATATGAACTCAGGTCCTCAGGCTTGCATAGTAGACACTTCACTAATTGATATATCTTCCCATCCCAAGTGATAGTTATTGTAAATGCTTTTGGAGGATCCATGTGAATGACAGCTCTCAGGTGACTGTAATACCAGTTACAAGGAATCTGATACCCTCTTTTGACTTCTTTGGGCACTGTACTCAAGTGGTGCACATACACATATGATATGTAGGCAAAACACTTCCACACATAAAATGGCTCATAAGTGCTTTGGAGCATGACAATGCTGAGCAAACCTTTGTAGCTACCAAGAACTCATTACTACTGAAAACAATGCATACCTATTGAAAGTTAATGTAAACTCCCAGCACAAATCCTTTTGTTTCTTCTCAGGCACGTCCCAACTATGATAAAGTGATGGAGATGGAGTACCTGGACATGGTGTTGAATGAAACCCTCAGATTATACCCATTTGGTAGCAGACTTGAGAGAGTCTGTAAACAAGATGTGGAACTAGATGGTGTGTTTGTTCCCAAAGGGTCCATAGTAATGGTACCAGTGTTTGCTCTTCACTATGACCCACAGTACTGGCCAGAGCCTGAGGAATTCCGCCCTGAAAGGTACCAGAATCCCAGGAGTGGGAACCCATTCTTTAGTGTACTGGTATTGTATGCTATGGTATCTCTTATGGGAAGATGATCTAAATGTGATTTTTTTCATCCATTTGCATTCTATGAGGAGAATGACAGAGAAAGTGAAGAAAAAAGAGGAAAGGGGAAGAGAGAGAGAAGAAAATATGAGAATTTAAATAAGTGTGTTTTTCTCCTTCTCCCTCAAGTAGCAAACGATGAACTTAAGTGTGAGGCAAAAACCCATTTTCCTTCAGTATAACTGACATGTGCTTTTCAGATATGGGACCCAGCATTATCCTGAGTAGACTTCAGAGTTTAGAGATGTATCCTGCCTTTTTTCTTTTTATTCATTGACAAATGCAGGCATATATAATATGTTTTGGTCATTTTCATTTCACATTACCCTGTCTCTTCTCCCTCCCGCACTTGTTGAATCCCTACTTGTCCCCATCAAGTCTTCCTTCTCTTTCCATGTCTTCCTATTTTCTTGAGACTCAGGAATTTAATTAGAGTTACTTGCATAAGCATAGGTATAGGAGTTATTTACTGGAGACTGAACAACTCACCAGTAGCTACACCATGGAAGAGAAAAATTACCCCTGCCCCAGCAAGCATTCATTGTCGGTAGCTCTTTAGGGAGGTGGTACCTCAAGAACTCCTTCTTCCATCCATGATGGAATGTTTCAACATGGGTCTAGTCTTGTGTAGGAAACCACAGCTGCTGGGATTCATGAGTATAATGAATGTGTCATGTCCAGACGATAGTGTTTTATGGTACCCCCTTCATTCCCTGGCTCTTACATTATGTTGCCCCCTTCTTCTGAGATGCTCCATGAACCTTGCAGCGGGTGATATAGATGTTCTGTTAAGCAGTGAGCACTCCACCATCACTCAATTTTCAGCATTTTGATCAGCTATGGGTTTCTGTGTTAACTATCTCCCATTGTAATCAGAAGCTTCTCTGACCAAGGCTGAGAGCTGCACTAATTTTTGTGTATGTGCATAAATATTTAGAAGGCAGTTTGATAACATACCCACTTAGCAAAACAACAGTAACACATTCTCCCCTAGAGCCTATGACCTTCCTAGACATTGGATTTTGATCACATTTACAATACCAGACATTAATTGCCTCACATTAATTTCCTCTGAATTGGAACTCTAATTCAGACAGTGGTTGTTTTCCTCTACCCCATGACACCACTATTACACTATTGGGCACATTTTTTTTTTCAAACAGCATTTGTCTTATCTACCATATGGAAACTATTATAGGAAAAGTGGGTGGAAAGGACTTTTAGTGCACAATTCTCAGGACAAAATTTCTGAGAGCAGAAGTTCAGTGAACCTTTCCCAAACTACCTGTATGTTACTGGTTAGATATCTGAAGGCAAATTCATGTATGCAACTCATATGCTTTTATCCCTTGTTGACTTATCATTACTGCGTGTCTCCAGGTTCAGCAAGGAGAACAAGGGCAGTATTGATCCATATGTATACATGCCCTTTGGGAATGGACCCAGGAACTGCATTGGCATGAGGTTTGCTCTCATGAACATGAAACTTGCTCTCACTAAAGTCCTGCAGAATTTCTCCTTCCAGCCTTGTAAGGAAACACAGGTGAGAGGGAAATTATCTCTGTAAATAATGTTTTATGGGAGTCATTTTTCCCAACTGACCATTCTGTGCATAAAAGCAAATATTATTGTTTGAGGCATAACAATTTGTTTTATGGAAAAATGAGTTGTGTTCAGGCATGAGCTAAGGGGCCTTTGGTTCTGTGTCAATGTAGAGTACAATGGTGTATTATGAAGAGTTAGTGCAAGGCTGGATTGACAGGATTATATACATTCTGTTTGAAGTTCCAGTCATGTCCATTGTAGATTGGATATGTCATGTGCCATCAAGAGTGCAGTGACCATGTTTTCGTGTTTGTTGGGTGGTGCACTCTCCTTCAAGAACTCACAGAAGCTGTCCTCTAACAGTCTTGTCAACCACTGGCTGCACATTAGACTCACTTGAGAAGCTTTACAAGTCATATATGAGATCTGGGATATTTTTCAGTTGGCAAAGTGCTTACCTAGCATGCACAAAGCCCTGGTTCCCATCCCCAGAACAACATGAAGTAGCTGTGGTGATGTATACTTGTAATCCGTGCACTCAGGAGGTGGAGGCAAGATGCTGAGAAGTTCAAGCAATCCTTGGCCACTTAGGGAATTTGAAGCCAGCATGGGTTACATGACACCCCATATGAAAAACATAAACATAAACTCGTGATACCTGGTCATTTCTGAAATCCTAAACTAATTTGCCTGGAGTGTGGCTATAAAAGTTCATGTCTGACTTCCCATGTGAGGCCAAGCTGAGAATCATTATTTTAAAACACAATTTCTGGGACTCAAGAGATATCTCAGTAGTTAAGAGCACTAGATGCTCTTACAAAGAACCTAATTCAGTTCCCAGCCCCCACATGGTGGCTCACAACCATTTGTGACTCCAGTTACAGGGGCTCAGATGTGCTCCTCTTGCTTCTGTTGAGACTACACACATATGGCATATATGTATATGTGGAGGCAAAACACTTATACATAAAATAAAAATAAATAGATCTTTAAAAAGTTGCTGGTTATGATGAAATCCAACTTATGGATTACCTTGATGGTTATACTTCACTTCTCTGGGGCTCTTGATCCAGAAAACAAGTAGCTATCATATTTCTATAAACCATGTATCTTTTCCTCCTTATTATTTTGCTCTCATACCTCAAGTTCTTGTTCACACACCAAGTGAATATTCCTTTTGGGTTTCTTTTCTCATTTATTTTATGCTGTACTTTTGACTCCTGCAGGTTATTTTTAATCACCTATGCTAATACTTTGTCATTAAAGTCTTCAGTTTTGTTCTGTTTGTTCTCTCCATATTGAAGGATATCCTCTATCTTTTCTATATCACCTCTTGTTATTTCTTTAACAAACTACAAATGGTTCTTTGAGGACATTTTGTGCATTGAAAGCCTTAGAGAATGGTTTAAAGTATGGCTAACAATTATAATATTCTTTAATAAGAACATTAAGCTAATTAAACAATTAGCAGATACCATTGGTATGTTTTTATACACATCTGTTTCGTTTGACTTCACGGAAAACACATGTATACTACTCAAAATCTAAAAGATAACATGGGATGTTTGGAGAGTTTACATTTTCCTGAACAACTTTCATGTGAAGGGCTAGTTAAAATTTACAGGACTTGTGTATTAGGGTTTGGCTTCTCTTTGTCAATTAGTTTTATTTCTGGATGAAAAGAGGATAGTAATGTTTATTCTGTGATTTGTGGTTTAAGGCAGTTTGTAGTTTTACCTGCACAGAACTTCACTTATTTTACTACTTCTCACTAAACATTTAAATCATAAGCATGTACAGGGATTAAGACAGACAAACCAAGGCTCAAGTTTTGAGGGCCCCCTGTCATGGGACATATGCTCTATCAAGCTCCAGTCATCTTAACATTGACACTTTTCTGTCTCCATGACAACTTTGTTCCCCTTCATTCTCCTGTGTCCAGAAGATTAATTCTTTGGAGCCTTTCCCCCTCCATCACTGAATAGCATGAGGCTAAAGCACCATTGAAAACACTGTAGGACTCAGAAGTCTTTGTTTAACTCATCCTTGTTGAAGACCAAGAATATGCTATACAAACAAAGCAAATATCTGAGTCCTCCTACAGATGTGACCAACTGTGGCATATATAGTGGCTCAACTGTATGGTGACATACGACCTAGATGCTGAGGACTTTCCACAGACTTGAAATGCATCTTCTCAGGGTTAACTTAAAAGTTCCAACAAACCAAAGATAGCTTTTCAGGGATTAAAATGTGACATAATAACTAGTAATCAGGTTCAAACATGTTAAACTTACCTGTTTTACTCTAAGTCAACACAGAACAGAAATAACATAAACCAACATGACTTCATCTCAGTCCCTGTGAACAGTGGATTCACAATCAATGTTTAACCCAATACATGGTTTGGATGTATTATCTCATGACCTAATTGACACAGCTTGGAGATAAGGAAGTCAAAATATATGATGTTAAATGCAGCTTTTATGTTTTTTGTAAATCATTATCGTCCTGAATTTTTAAAGCTTTTCTTCTGGCATTGCTGTTGGTTCACTCATTGCTTTTCAATACTTTTTCTTACACTATTTCAGATCCCAGTGAAATTAAGCCGAAAAGCAATGCTTCAACCAGAAAAACCCATTGTTCTAAAGGTTGTGGCTCGGGATGCAATCATAACTGGAGCGTGACTTTCCTTCGAGCACTTCTGCATTCCTCAAGAAGGGGATGTCTAAGAACACTGGAACACAAAACTTACTTCATGAGTAAAATCCAAATGAAGATGAGGCTTAATCAACTTACTCTGATGCATGGTTATGGATTCAGTACACCCACTGAGCTTTCTCGGTATTAATACAGAGTACTATCTAGTGTAAAGTAAAGTCAGTGACAGAATGAGAAATTCCTCTTTTTTGGTCCTCATGGGGCCATTTCCATCCACATCTTGTTGTCTCCATCAATTTCTTTTGAGCTCTCTTGAGAGTAACCATGCCTCTGTAATTTTATCAATAATAATTTTTAATGAAAATATGACCCATTGTGTTAACTCTTATTGTAAAATTGGTATCAGGATTCTTTAGTTGAAATAGTCTACAATAAATGTTACACTGAAAATGTAAACATCTATTTTTTTAAAAATGAATTTGTTTATTTTATATCCTGGCCACAATTTCCTTTCCCTCCTCTCCTCCCATTTCCTTCCCCTTTTGCCCTGCTCTGTTCCCGCTCCCCAATCTACTTCTCCTCTGTTTCTGTTTAGGAAAGGACTGGTCTCCCATGTGTCAACAAAACATGGTTCATCAAGTTGCAGTAAGACTAAGAACCTTCTTATGTATTAAGGCTGGGCTGAATGAAGAGTAGGGTTCCAAAAGCAAGTACGAGAATCAGAGACAACCCCTGTTCCAAGTTAGGAGTCCCACAAAAGGACCAAGACACAATTGTAACATACACGCAGAGGGCCTAGTTCAGTTTCATGTGGGCTCCCTGGTTGTCAGTTCAGTCTCTGTGAGCCTGTATGAGCCCAGATTAGATTATCCAGTGAGCTTTCTTGTGGTATCCTTGACCCTTTTGGCTTCTACAATCCTTTCTGCCCATCTTTGGCAGGATTCCCTGAACTCCACCTAATGCTAGGCTGTGGGTTTGCATCTGATTCCATCAGTTGCTGGATGAAACCTCTCTGATGACAGTTGGGCTAGTCACCAGTCTGGTCACAGGAGATGGCCAGTTCAGGCTTTGTATCTGCTATTGCTAGCAGTCTTAGCTGGAGTCATCCTTGTAGATTCCTGGGAGATTTCCTTATGTCAGTTTTTACATGGCCCCTGAAATGTCTCCCCCTTTCCAATAGTCTCTTTCAGTACTCTCCCGCTCCCTGCTCCCCCAACCTGATCGCTCATGTTCCCATCCCCACCTGCCCACATTCCACTCACAAATTCCCTTCTATTTCCCCTTCCCAGGGAGATCTGGGCATCCTCCCTACAAACGCTAATTTAAAATTCTTTTTATAATCCTTCAGAGCTTCCTATTTTGATGATAATAATTTATTTCCTCCATCTCCTCCCAGATTTTCCTCCATCTTCCTTCCCATACAACTTCATATTCTCTCCAAGTGTTTCAAACCAAACTAAACCATGGGGTCCAGTTCACATTGGATAACTATTCCTGCGTGTGAGGTCTGCTCTGGAGTGTAGTTGATATAATGAGTGTCACCCCATTGAAGAAAACTGACTTTCCCTTTCTTAGGGGTTATAAGTTGACAATATCTCCTTGGCTAGGAGCAGGACGCTGAGCTCCTACATGCTAGGATTTTAGGATTTTGCATGGTTTGAGCTTGTGCAGATCTTGGGAATTCTATCCCGTCTCTGTAAGTTCATATGTGCATCTGCCATGCTGTGTCTGAAAAATGATGTTTCCTTGAAGTCATCCATTACCTCTGGCTCTTAAAATCTCTCTGCCGTCTATCCACATAGATCCTTGAGCTCTGAGGGGACAGGTATCATATAGTCAACCTTGTCTGAGCTGAGCTTTCCAAAGTCTCTTCCTCTCCTCATGTTGACAAGTTGTGGTTTTTCTTGCTGATTATTACCTACTACAAGAAGCTTCTCTGATAAAGGTTGAGTGATGCACTATTTAGTGAATATATCGGTATGTCATCAGGAACCTCATTATTGCTCTAATCATTTAATAGATTAGTAGTAGGTATTCTTAAAGGACTCATGCATTATCTCATCTCAGCTTCCCGGCCTCACTGACAGTATGGGTTCCATCTCATGTAATGGGCCTGAAATCCAGTTTTAAAAGTGGTTGGTTACTCCCATGACACTTGTGACACCATTGCACCAGTGGGCACATCGTTCAGTCAGTCATTATTGTAGCTTCCCTGGTTCACAGCTGGATGAGACTGTTAATTGCTTTTCTCATCCAGTATTGTGTATAGCATTTTCCAGTAACTGTGAACACAATCCAGTGACCTGATGTTTTCATATGTATTAAGATAGAAGATAGAAATCTGAACAGAGAAGAACTAGAAATAAAATACTTTTCAAAAATATAATTAAAACTTTTTTTTGAGAATTTCATACATGTACACAATATATTTTTTGTATACATCTCTTACTTCCTTGTTCAAATACCTTTGGATGCTCTTCAGATCCTCAAATCTTCATCCCAATTTCATGTCTTCTTTTCTTTTATAAACCTCTGAGTCTAATTAGTGCTGTCCATATGTACATAGTGTGGGATCAACCATGGCAGCAGAGGCAACTGTCTGGGACTACACCCCTGGGAAAAAAACTGACCCTCTCTCTAGCAGCCATCAACTATCATGAGCTCTTCAGCTATGTGGTGAGGACTCATACGTCCCTCCACATCTATGCTGGAATGTTGACTGGATGTTCTCATGTGGGTCTTGTGCAGGTAAACAGAGCTTTTGTGACTACATGAGTATAATTGTACTGTCATGTCCAGAAGACACCAGAAGCTAAATAAATCCTTTTGGCATTTACAGTCACTGGTTTGTGGGTCTGATTGAGATCTGCTCTTATCAGTATAGGTGAGAGCTAACCCTTGTTGACTTTTCCTATTCCTTGGAAGTATACCCATCATTATTTGTGTGTATTTTGTATACTTGTGTATGTATTTATGTGCTCACATGCGTGCGCATGTGTGCATAGACCAAAGGGTGATGTGAGGGTATCTTCCTCAATTGCTCTCCACCTTATTGTTACTATTTTAAATTACATTTTAGTGTGTGTTCATACATGTACATGTATCACAGTGCCTGTGTGGAAGTCATAAGACAACTTGCAGGAGTTGGCTTTCTCCTACTGTGTGGTTCTGGAGAGTGAATGCAGGTTGTTAGTCTTGGCAGCTAGCACCTTTATCCATTGAGCCAATCTTGTTGGACCTCCATTTTTGAGATGGGGTCTCTCAGTGACTTGGGGCTCTTTTCTTGGGCAAGACTACCTGTCCATCAGGCTCCAGGGATGGCCCTTTTGTTGACTCCATACCACTAGGATTACAGGCATGCACCACCTTGTCTGTTTTTTTAATGTAGTTGATGGGGACCTGATGTTAAGTGTTCACACTGGGCCACTTCTCCAGCCCATTTTGTTTTTTAAAAAAATGAAACTTATAAATCATTGGTTACTTTATTATTGACGCTGGTTATCATAGCATTCTCTGATGTTTCCAGAAGGCAAATAACATTTTTTGAGAAAGCATCTCATGTTGTTCAAACTGGCCTCAACCTTGCTGTGAGAATGACATTGGACCTCAGAAGTTTCTGCCCCCCTTCCCAGTTGCTGGCATTATAGGCATGCACCACCACAGGACTCCTGGGTAAGTGCTCCATCAACTGAGCTACAATTCCAGGCCCTCGTGACATTTTCTTACATGTCTTGTCTTTGAGCATGTGTGTGTGTACTTTCTGGTACAAAAAGGTATTCTGAGGCCCTCTTGGATTTTCCCAGCCTTGGAATTTGTCATTTTTCCAAAGAACCAGAAAAAAAATTGTTGTTCATAACTCAGGAGTTGGGCAGCAGGAGTGCTCATGGTGATTAGAATATCAGTTTCGTAACTCTTAGAGATGTGGGAATATCTTCCTCTCCCCTCTCTCATTTTAATCTACCACCTATTTAGAGAAATGGGAATCTACTTCCAAACAGCCTATTCTACCCTGGCTTCTTAGCAATCTTCTTAGGACTTCTGTTCTGAATCTGACTCCTTTTACCAAGACTGAGCTGGGCTTCCATTATTCTTAATAGTCTTAGTAATTTGGTGAATTCATTTTTTTTTTGAGATAGAGTTTCTCTGTATAGTCTCTTTGGCTATCCTGGAACTCACTTTGTAAACCAGGATGGCCTCAAATTCACCTCTGCCTCCCAAGTCCTGGGATTGAAGGCATGGACCACCACACCTGGCATATTTTACTGGCATTTATTCATTATAAATAGTACTAGGTTTTCTAGTAATATTTTTATGCAAGAAAATAATGTACTTTGATCACATGTTCTGTTAAATCCCTTCTTCTCCCTTTTCTTAGTCTCCCTCATTTTCCTAGATACTTCATTTTTAATTTATTATTTTTATTTTACATATCAATCCCAGTTCCCTAGATACTTCATTTTCTACTATCATGATCAATTCTTTTTTAGAAAGTTCTTTTGCAGATTTACAAATAGAAATAGATGTGGCTTTATGAACTCTTGGAATCCAGTTGCAGTGAGGGAGGAGTGATGAGCAAAGGGGTGAAGACTGGGCTGGAGAAACCCACAGAAAGTGCTGACCTGAACAAGTGGGAGCTCATGGACTCCAGTCTAATAGCTGGAAAACCAGCATAGGACTGACCCAGACCCCTGAATGTGGGTGTTATTTAAGAGGACTAGGCAGTCTTTGGGGCCTCTGGTAGTGGATCAGTATTTATCCCTAGTATACAAATGGACTTTGGGAGCCCATTCCACATAGAAGGATACTCCCTCAGTCTGGACACATGGGAGAGGGCCTAGGCCCTGCTCCCAATGATATGTCAGACTTTGAAGACTCCCCATGGAAGGCCTCACCCTCCTTGGGGAGCAGAAAGGGATAGGATGGAGATTGGTGGGGGTAACAGGAGAGAACAGGAGGGTGAGGGAACTGGGATTGACATGTAAACAAGCTTATTTCAAATTTAACAGTAATTCCACTCAGGCATATACCCAAAAGATGCACATTCTTACAACAAGGACACCCACAGCTAAACACTAGCCGAACTCCTGGAATCTAGTTACAGAGAGGGAGGACTGATGAGCAAAGGGGTTAAGACCAGGCTGGAGAAACCTACAGAAAGTGCTGACCTAAACAAGGGGGAGCTCATGCACCCCAATCTGATAGCCGGTAAAGCAGTGTAGTAGTGACCCAGACCCCCTGAATGTGGGTGGTAGTTAGGAGGACTGGGCAGTCTATGGAGCCTCTAGCAATGGATCAGTATTTATCCCTAGTATAGAATGGACTTTTGGAGCCCATTCCACACAGAGGGATACTTTCTCAGCCTAGACACATGGGGGAGGGCCTAGTTCCTGCCCCAAATGATATGACAGACTTTGAGGTCCCCCCCATGGAAGGCCTCACCCTCCCTGGGGAGCAGAAAGGGG